GCCGCTCCGCCGCTCTCCGCGGTCAGGGCCGGGGGCGCGCGCGGGCCCGGGGCTTACATAACCGCTGGGCGCGGGGGTGCTCCCCCGCCGCCCGCCCCTCTGCGGTGCCTGGGGAGCCGCCGCCTGCGGGGAGGGGGAGGGAGGGGGAGAGGGGGGCCGAGCGCGGCGCCGTCGCCACCGCTGTTGGCCGGGCTGCGGGAGGGGAGGGGAGGGGGGAAGCAACGGCTCCCGCCCCCGCACGCGCAGGCCCTGCGGGCTTCCGTCCCTGCTCGCGCACCCGGCAACGACCGGCGGGCAACGGCCAACCAGCGAAGAGAGAGGAGGGGAGGGGAGGGGGGGATCCTTGCTGCCGCCCCGGCCGCCGCCGCCACCACCACCACCCAACAGCTCCGGTACCGACTCCTATTGCCGCCGCCCCCTCACCCTCTTCTCCTCCGCTGCCACCTCCAGCCACTGCCAACCCCGCAGCTCAACAACGCACCCACCCATTGGGCCGCTCCCGCCCCCAACAAGCCCCGCACGGATTGGCCGCTTTCTCCTCCGTGTCTCCCTCCTACCCCCCACCCCCAGCTCCTCCGCCAGAGTCGGCGGCGCTGCTCTGTGTGCGGGACCTGCCTCGTTAAACGGCGACGGGAGTGCTGCGAGTAGCAGAGGGCTGGGCAGCGGCCTTGCTGCCTTCGCGCCTTCGCCAAGATAGTGGGAGGAACCGGAACGGAAGCTGCCCGGAACCCTCGTGGCTGGCTGCGCTTCCGTAAGCGGCCGGTCCTCCCGCCGACTTCCGCTTCCGGGTGGCGGCCGCGTCCTGAAGGAGGGTCAGAGAGCGGGCAAGTACCGAGGGCTGGGAGGTGCGGGAGCCTTCTGGGGCTTGCCTGCGCCGCTGCCACCCTGGGAGTGCCTGTGGGGGGGCTTGGGAGGGGAGAGGGCGGCGGCAGCGGCGTCTGTTGCTCGGGTTGTGCCCCCGAGCCGGGGCGGCCTCACGCAGCCGCCGTGGCCCTTCTCCAGGCGCCGTTAGACGGATACCCGCCCCGCCCGGGCTAGCGGGCCTCGGCGCTGGCGCCTTTCGGTCCTGCTTTTGCTGGTTTTGCTGGCGGAGAGCGCACGGCTGGTGCTGCAGTGCAGCCCTCTGGCCGCGGCGTGTGGGCGCTGGTGTGTGTTCATGTGCGCATAAACCCCTTTCTTGTAGAAAGGCAAATACTGGTCGGAGAGAGGTCTTGGGGTTTTATGGCAAGGACATAGACTGGGGAGGCTTTTCGGGTAATGACAGCATGAGAGCTCTTCTTCAGGTTTCCTTCTGCAAGAGAATCCTCTTTGCTTGCTTCCACAGTTTGGGGTCTGCAAGAGTTACAGGCTTCGAAGCTGTGTTCTTGGCACCATTGCATCCCAGTCAATTCTCCTAAAAGTTAAGGACATTAAATCTGTTCTTTGCTACCAGATATGTGTTAAAATGGGAAATCCTGACTCAAAGAAGTCTCAGGTGCTTTGTGAAAATAGAGACTTAAAAGCCATTGTTATTTTCTTCCACTCCTTCAGGATCCCATTGAAAACATTCACCTTGCCATCTGCCTTGATCACTGTTTTTTAATGAGAACCTTAATATTTTCATAGTTCTCTCAAGGTCTGTCTACATAAAGCATGTATTTCCCAGCCTCATGAAATGACTAGTAAGGTGCATCTCCTTGTGCATTCATCTATCCTGTACCCATTTATTGCCACAGTTACGTTTGACTGAATTGGAGGCAACTTAAAAGGAGCTGAGGAGCCAAGTCTTTGGTTTTTTCACGTTTTTCTTCAGAGCTTGGTGATTGTAGCTCTGCCATACCTAAATTAGAAATTTCCAAACTAAACTCTGAGCTTTTTGATGTACTCTGGAAAGCCTGCAAGTTGCTGGGGCCTGGTATTGCTAAAGAGCATTTATAGACATTGGAAACAATGTTTTTTCTGACACTATTTTCTGGCACAGAAGATTTACATAGCTGCTCCATGAATGTAACGGTGGTGGTGACTTACAACACAGTAACACTTAAGTCTGCACAGTTTGCCTTACTGTGCTAAATCACCAACTTCAGAAATGCAGCATAAAGTCTCTTAGCTCTTCGTTCTACAGTGTACTGTGTACAATGCAGAAGATGCTTCATGTGCAATGTTACGTGCTTTGGAATACTTCTTGTAATCTCCCTGTTTTTCCTGTACAGGGTACTGTTCTTTGCAAGTGTGTGAAAATAAGCTGATACTTTCTGTGAAATAAAAAAACTACTCTCTTTTCTTGTAGGTATGGGGCATGGAAATGAACACAGCCATGGCCATGGCAAAATGGAACTCCCCGACTACAGGCAATGGAAGATAGAGGGTACTCCACTAGAGAAGGTCCAGGAAAGGCTAGCTAAACGGGGTCTTAGAGATCCGTGGGCTCGGTAAGTGCAGAAGCCTCAAAAATAATCTTGATATGCCATCTTGTAGCCTCAACTGGACCTTGTCATTGCAGATTATTCTTTCTTTAGTAAAAATAGTGAAAAATGCATCTAGATTGTTAGCCAGAATTTCAGTTAAGTCTTTACTTTTTTGTGTGGAGGTCACACTTTGCATCAGCTTGACCAGTCTCCGCATTTTGCAAGGCATCCTTGCACTTTGTGATGTTTCATGATGATACAGATCAGGCACAATGACCAATACCTCATCCACCAAAACACTTAAGTAATATTAGGTCTTCCACACATGAGTAAGCCGGTCCCTTCTCAGCAAAGAGATTGTGTGCTCAGATCTTGCTGAAATTGATGGAACTTACATTGACGTTCTGAGTAGAAATAGCGTTCCTTATATACAACAGGAGGCCTTTATTTGAAAAGAAGAAATATACTAGCAGACAATGTGGAATTTGAGTCAAATGTGCATTTCGTTTTGCTAAGCAGTGAATGACATAATGGAAGATCAGATTTTTACCTCTGTTGTCCCAGTCTACAATGAATACCTCCTCTTTTTTAGCTAGAGCAATTCTGGATCATTTAGGCAGCTGCTAAAACAGGGCTTAACATATTTCTGCCATATCATTAATTATGTAGTACTTTGCTCAAGTACTCTTTAATCTTGGGGAATAAAAATGCTAAATGTCTTGTGCTGTGTAGTCCAGTTCTTCTGTAAGGCAAAAGTTGCATTAGCAGACTATTCCAGGAGCCTTCATAGAAAAGGCTTTACTTCAGACCACTACAAGAAAAATGTAAGAGTAAACAGGTAATCTGTTAAAAAGTTGTTACATGCTATAAACTCTGGAGGGGTTTGGGATTGACAGCACTTTTTTTTCCTTCCTTTGAAACAGTTTAAGGCTGTAAGCATGGAGTAAAACATAGTTTTGATGATGATAAGAATCATTTGAGTCCTTAGGATTATCAGTTACCAATTAACTTTCCAGGCCTGTGTCACATTTATGTTGCCTCTATTTCTGAGGAGTGCAAGCAGTGTTAGATTATTTTTTTTCCTTTGCTTCAGACAAAACTGTTTTCAGCAAGCAATAGGCTTATTCCCATTTAAAAAGTGGACACAGTTTAATATCATACATTTAGTGTAAATTAATGTAACTTTTAGTGCATATACTTCCAAGTTGAGAAAGTGCTACAAAACAGCAAACTGGAAAAGAGCTTGTGTAATATTTGTTGCTCCTAGATTAAAAAAAAAAAATAATGTTTCTCTGGTAAAAGAAGGGGATGGAGCCAATTATGTGAGGAGTTGAAATAAGGAGCAAAGTCAAACTTTTAAAGCATGAGATGATTCCTCCTGAACTTTTCAAATTTTATGTAAAGTAATATTTCGGTTCCATAGGACAAGTACAAGTATTGTGCCAATCTTCCTTAACAAAGGAGAAATTAAAGTATCAAGTTACTTGCCTCAGTAATCTGGAAGAAGATTGCATTATTAATATCTTGCACTAGAAGTCTTGAAAAATTAACCCTCTCTAGGGCTCCCCTCTTTGCTATATTAAGTTCCTTTTAACAGGAGATCAGCTTTCCACCTTTGTAGCAAATGCATATTAATGTACATATTCAATACCGAGTAAGCCGTGTGAAAGTATCAATTAGTACTCCGTACTAGCATCTAGAAGATACTCTTCCATACCAATGTGCTTTCATCTCAAGTCACAGAAACCATCTGCACAAGGGGCATTATCTATGAACATATGTACTTGACCCTCTTGTTTAAAAAACTTGTATCTTCTCCTGAAATGATGGTTCTAATTTTATTGCTTCTTTCTGTGCATGTTTTTTTCCTTTTCTTAAGGACTTTGAGTCCTTAGAAGAGAAACTGTGTCCATCTCTATAGATTACACTGGTTGTGCTAGACAGAAATCCTTGTAGTCAATTATAGCAGTGACTAATGTTTCAATAACAATGTAGGTTAAAAACAGCAAAGCAAAACTGTGAAGTTTGAGAATATTCTGTAGCTTTTTAGCAAAACACAATCTTTTCAGCTTTTTTTTTTTTTAATCAGTTTTAGTAGGCTTTTCTGACCCTAATACAGTTAAGTGTCGTATTGTCAAACAGGAAGTGCCTCCACACTAGAATGAGTTTTCTATGGCTGGAAAAACTTTCCCTTTTAAGATTTAACTATGCTAGATACTTTCTAGCACAGTGACTAGGCTTTGTAGTTACTCCATCCTGTGCAAGTGCTGGGAGCTTCTGATTTTGTTTCAAACAGAGTAAAAACAGAAGACACCAATTACATCGATTTGAGGAGGTGATTCTTGTTACTAGAATTATGTTGTTTGCTGGTGTTACTTGTATCTCAAATTACATGCATAAAGTTTAGAGTTAATATCATGAACTTTACTTGTGGCAACTCCTGTTACTTAAATGATAGAAATATTACAGTCTCAATATAGATCTAGTTGAAATACCTTCATCTTTTTTTCCCTAACAAAGATATTCCTATTAATGTTTATCACAGTGCCACCACTGATCTTGTTTTATTCTTTTGGTTTCATTTTTCTTCTAGCAATGAAGCCTGGAGATATATGGGTGGCTTTGCAAAACCTGTCACCTTAACAGAAGTCTTTACTAGGGGACTCAAGTGGGGATTTGCAGCTTTCGTCATAGCTCTTGGCATTGAATATACACTGTTTCCTCCAAAGAAGAATGGTGGCCATCACTGAAGATCAAATATGACAACTTAATACTTCCTAATTACTAAGCTGAAACATACATAAGCCTGCTGCTCACTCTGTACTTACAATATGTGTATTAAAGTCTATCACAGGCAAAACCATATTTCTTTGATTATTTTTTTATACTGTTGTGGAAGGATAAAAAAACATAGCCAGAGCAATTTATCTGACTTCAATCTGGGAAAAAAACCCAAGACATACATATGCTTTTGGGTTTGCTGTACCATCCTTTAAAGAACAGAGGAAATTACCAGCCCAGCTCCTTCAAGCCCTGCCAACATTCTATTAAATGAAATTGAGAAACCGTGTTGCTTTTAAGAGAAAAATTGTACTGTATTAATTACAGGCTTAATAATGATTATTTGCTAGTAAGTGGTAATGAATGACTTGTCATTTCTTAAAAGTATAATTTGTTACTCACTCTTATGGGTCTAAATAAAAACAACTATTACCATAAAGCTTTAAAAAGTACCCAAAACTGCCTCAAAGTATATGAAAATACCAAAGCTTAATACTTAATCCTATTGAAGGATTAATTAATTTGGCAGACGCTAAGCACCAAAACAATCTGCTGTGTAATATCCAGAAATTAATAATTACATTGGTGCCACATTTACTAAGCAAAGTAGAATGTTTCACTCAGCGATAGCTGTACCTTATCCTAATGACTTCCAATATACTACAGCGTAATGTGAAAAAAAGAGAAAAAACAATTGCTTTTTTTCTTTGTCCTGGTGTATTAAGTTGTAAATGTAGTAGAGATTTATTTATCTCTTTTTAAACCTAGTCTCTTTTAATAATTTGTTTCAAATTTCCTATTTTTACTTCAAATTATCTAACAGCTTCTGGAGTGCTTTAAGAATGGCTGAAGTGAGGACTATAGTAGAAAAGGGCCTGTTGGCAGTATATGTCCTCTGCAGCACTAGGAATTAGAATTGGCTGAATATCCTATTGTAAATTTTGTTATGCCATTAGTAACATAAGCTAAGGAGGGTATACTATCTCATTTTTCAATCCAAACAAGAGGAAAAGCAAAATTAGACACACAAGTGAGAAACTGTAAATGCCACTAGACAATTACATAGTGGACAGTTTAAGTAATCATGTCACAAATTGCAGGTTTACAAAAAACTTGAAGGTCTTACCTAAACACAGGAAAAAATATATATTTTTTTAATATATATATTCACACACAACCTTTCTGAGAGATTATAACAGAGCTTTATTTTTAGAGCCAATAAACATCTGTTATTGTGGGAGTGCAGCTGTACTGTTCAGCGGAGTTTGTCATCTTTGTATGACATTGCTCAAGGCACTGTTCATAGGGCAAACATTTGTTTGTTTTACTAAACTTTTCTTGCCCAATTCTTTCTCAAGCATCCCTATCCAGTTGCATCATTCCCTGAAAAACAAATCAAGAACCTACTGTGTAAGGTCTGTTGCACAAAATATTTCTATGTTGTCCCTGAGGCAGTCCCACCCAGAATACACATTTTCAAAGGCTGGTACTCTGCTTGTCTTCTATCTAGGTCCAATACTAAACTTCTTAACATAACTGAATTTTAGATGGTTGTTCAGAAAAACAATTAAGAGCTAGCATTACATGCAGTATTGGTGAATCTTGCACTTAAGATATGTGCTGTTTTCACTTCAGCTGCTCTTTGTAATTTTAATTTGGTGTGCAGTACTTGTGTACTGATTGGCTGCCTCCCCCCCCCCCAACTCTGCTGCAGCTGCTCCAGAAGCATAAGCCTTAAAAAAAAAAACAAAAAACAACTTTAAGCAGTAGTTGCTGTCCCATTTAGTTTCCTGTTGGGAAAGTTTGTTTTCATGTTATTCTCTACATATGCTTTTCATTGGGTTTTTTTTGTTTGTTCTACATCAAATGCTTCAGAGTCTGATGTAAAGTTGCTACAAGTTCCTGTAGAATTAGTCTTCTTAAATGTTACAAGCCTGCCACTTCACTGATATAGCAGCCAGTTCTGTTAAATATCAAGAGCCTTATTTACACTAGCTGAAGAGATATTAATACATTATTTTATTTTCAAGGACTAGCAGATGAACTCAGATTTATAAGTTACTGTAATCATATTTTCAGCATACATAACCTTGGTATGTTGCTTAGTTTATTTAGACCAAAAGATATAAAATACATACAAATGTAGTTTGGCTGCTATATAAACTAATGCGTTCCTCAGTAATTTTTTAAAACAGATTATTTTGTTCATGAAGACTTTATTGTATATGAAGAAAGTTAAGACAATCAAAATCTTATGTCTTCTAATTTCAGCCAGTTTCCAGAAAACTTACATGCAAGCAAATAATCTCAATTTAATTTCCACAGATGGTCTACTTTAAAGATTAAATTCATGCATAAGTGCTGTCTTGCATAGGGAAGCTCATAAGCATCAGCCTTACCAACGTTCTACATAAGCAAATATATTGGGCACATTCACTGTTAGACTAGACTAGTTTAGGTAAAATTCATGAATTAAGGTGGTATCATTCAATGGTTTAATAGCCAGATGGCAGCCACTGCCCTAAACAACTGCCTTAATTTATGATGAACATATTTTGCCAATATTGTGGAATATAAAAATGTCTCATCGTTATTATACATACAATACTCAAAGATTTTTATTTCACAGGTATTATAATACTAATCCTGCCTTTCTACCAGCATAGATATTTTACAGTGCAAAGAACAGGGTCACAAACAGCAGGGGCACCTGCAGGTGAGGAACATACATGATTGTAATACTGCAGTCAGAAAGCTCTTTCTGTAACGTAAGTTCTGAAAAAATAGAACTAATGATGCTCCATTTTCTGAAATGCAAGTGGAAATCCCATCTCCATCAGTATTCAAAGAGCTATTTCTGCTCACCTGGAAAGATACTTGTGATTTATCTATTGGTTTTGCTAATGCTACCTATAATACTTACATCATTAACATACACATTTGGAAGATTATGCTACAGAGAAGTTAAAGCACCTAAATTATTCCAATACAATAGTAACTACATTGTAGTATAAATAGGATGTCTCTGAAAGTCCTATTTTGGAGCACAATAGAGTAAGTGTTCCCATGATGCGAGGCAGTTGTAGTTTAAATAGCAGACTGTAACTGTGTGTTTGTGTTGTTAACCTGCCTTGAAATCTCTCCTAAACTACAAATCTTTGTTGAGCTCTCAAACTATGAGCTTCTATCCTGCAATTAGATCTTTGCCGGATCAGCATTTATTAAAACTTTTTACATCAAGGCAAGCGCATTTTCTACAGGCAGCTAATTGAAGTTAGGAGTGTTTGCTTCAAGGGGTTTTACAACGAATGTACTCAGGACCCATGCTTCTCTTCCAATTAAGTTTACTGATTTCATCATGGGTGTCAAAACATTCAGGGATTCATCCAAACTGTTTTACATGTATGACGGGGAACTGATTTTACAGGTGCTCTGTATGTTCCCTATCCTCTGTTATAGGCCAAATAGAAATCTGAAAGTCAGATAATCCTTTCACCATTGTTCCAATAGAGAAGAAAACCTCTTGAAAATAGACTCTTCCCTTAGTGACTTAGCCTTTTTTTAAATAAGAATAATAAAAGCAACACCAACACATAACAAATGGAACTAGTAACACCATTTATATATACAGACAGAATGCACTCAATCTGATCATACCAAGTCTGATTTTGAAATATATAGCATAAAAGCCAAGTTCCTAGTATTTTCAGAAGCATAACTTCTTAGAAGACTTTTTTGTTTTACATAACTAGAAGAATCTACAAAATTAAAATAGATCAAACCTGTTATGAAAGCATATAGAGAGAAATATGTCCAAGCCAGAGATTTATAGCCAAAACCCTGTAAATTGAAACACTAGGCCCATGTCTTCCCAATCACATCTAATCGTACTGGTATGGTCTATGTTCTACATTTATACTGATTTACAGTTCCAGTTTACAAGAGATGTAACAATGAGAACAATGTAGTATTTCAACTTAGAAACAGGGGGGAAGAATGAAAAAAACTTGCATATAACTCATAAATGCTGCCTAAAAATATGTGAAAACTGTTTAATAAGCATATAAAAATTAGGTAAATTAAGGAAAAAGTGGAGTAAGTAAACAAAAGAGTATATTGGTCACTTAAGCAGTGGCTGTGTTAAAATGGTAAGTCATTCAACCATTTTTGAAAAAATATAATTCTTCTTTCATAAGCCTGCAGCCATACCATCTCCTTAAACCTCTTCTATTAGCCTGTACAAGTCTTTAAATGTTTCTATGGAATAGATCAAAAGAAAAACTGTGCATATCGATTCACAGCAGGTAGCTGGTTTCCTTCTGAATCAGCACCAATCCAATGCTACATCTTAGTAGCAGGGATACCATGATACCCTTGAATGACTGATATTAAAGTGAGAGCCTGAGTGTACAATTTCAGTAAGAATCCAGTTATTTTTTCAGAACACAGAGCAAGTCACTTGGTACCTGACCAAATTCTGGTGTGGGTGATTCTTTCTGTTTCCGTTTTCCCTGCAGTTCCAAGAAGAGCATGACTCTCTGCACAACAGTGTGCTATCCCAGGGTACTGTGCTTCCACTGCTATATTTTTAGCAGCACAAAAACCAACTGTTTTGTAAATGCTTTGAAATCCATTGAGCTGGGAGTTGTATATGATGTGTCTAATTTCACCACATATGGAGGTGCTTTTGTCTATTTCAGCAGATAAAATAGCACAGGATTTTAGTCCTTCAAGAGAGCAGCTCCAGCTACAATACTAGCACCTCAGAGTAAGTCACTTCATGGAAGTTGGTTTATACCACGGGAATTACAACACCCAGTTTACACGGACGAGGCATTACTTAAAATTTACTGAAGATTATACAACAATGGGAAGCATATAACTTTCACACGCCTGTACAATATTATTCTATGAACGAACTCAGAGCGACAGACCAAGATATGAACCAAGTAAGGGCTTACTTCGGCATAAACTCCCGCCAGAACACCCACTCTTATCCCAAGTCTGTAACTGCTCACTGAAAAACGGTCTGTTACTACTGAATGGCTACCGGGGCCAATACAAAGCTGTTTCGTCTGTCCTCATACCAGCAGCAGTATAAAAAGTATAGTCCCATAAGCACCTATACATATACTGAACTCAGGACCATCTTACTGACAACCTCTTCCCGTCACAACGCTACCAGCGCCCCAGCTAGCCAGAAGCCATTTTGTACGTAACCCCCACCCACAGGCGCCGGCAGAAGGTTGCGAGCCGACGAGACCTCCCTTCCGCCACAGCTCCGCCGCCATCTTGGAGTAGCTGGGCCGGCTTGTTTACGCAGCTCTGAGTCTCATCTCCGGAGGTAAACTCTAAAGCAAAAAAACCATAATCCTTCCCTCGCCTACGCCCTAAAACACCCAACGGCCGAACTCACAATAAAATCGTAAGGGTTAGCGAACGTGGCTCGGCAGATGTATAATGAGGGTAAGGTGGCTAAAGCCAGTTCCCTCGTCTCTCAGCGAGGGGACATCTCTGTCTTGAACAGCCTTGCTATCTGCACGCAGAGGCGCGGCTCAGGTGTCTCCAGTAGCCATAAGAGGTACGAGCGAAAAGCACTCTGCGTGTCCTACTCGCGAAAGAGAAAGAGAAGTGATGCTTGAAACCACGCCCGGTATTGGGGAGCCTGTTAGGCTGGTACCGCCTCCTCCTCCTCCCTGCTCCTAATGTCGGACCTGGCCCCGCTGGTGTAGATGAGACCTCCCCGGCGCGTTTGGGTGCGTTATACCTTTCCCTCTTCCTTTCCCTCACATCTCTTATCCCACCCTGCGCCTGCAGTATAGGCGCCCCAATACCCCGTGCTCCGGGATCGGGTCCTCCTCCCTGTCTAGAGCCGGTCCTCACCGTGGGGCGGGCTGAGCCGGGTGCGGAGAGCCGAAGCGTCCGGCGCAAGTGGGGCCTTAGCCCGAGTATGCTCGTGAGGAGAAACGAAACCCGACGCTGCCCATCCGCCTGAAACTTTTTAAACTTGAAGACCGGAGTTTCCTCTTGCTTCATTTTCCAAATGTGATTTAAAATGATGTAGTTAGAAAGTTGCGTGGAAATCTGCATAAACTCCCTGTGGTAAAACCAGTTTTAGTTTTGTTCTTTTGATGAGGAGGATTGGGATGTTAAACTAGTGTATCTCTAAATGGAAATCAGCGTGGTTACTGCTAGTTTACACCGAGAGCAAACTATTTAAGCCTAGTACAATAATGAGAAATGTGAAAGTTACAGCGGGATTTCCCTGTTTTTCCTAAGTATCTCATACCAAATCCTCTTTCTGTTATAGGGAAATGTGAAAGTTGTGGAGCACGCTCCAAACAATTCAACACTTTGAAAAATGCCAGATGATGCAGATTCAAAATGCAGTTACCTTTTGTGTGGTTTCATCACCTCTACCTCTTAATGCGGAGTGGAGGAAGCACAAAATGCAGCAAGTGCCTTCTATAGCAAAGTAACCTCCTACTCTCTAGCGTAGGGGCTTCCACATGAGCTCATCTTGTGAAACAAAGATCCATTTTCCATATCGGAACTACGCCCACTGATTGTATATCCTGTTTTTGCTGCTGCAGACATGGTTGTAAATCACTGAAGAAAAACGCTGTCAGAAATGACAGGCTCTAATTGTAGACCATGTCTAGAGTGTGAAATGTTTCCCTGCTTCTCTCGAAAGACCTTTCCTCTTAATATGAGGCCTGATATGTTGAATTGTTACTAATACGGGACACTTCTCTTTGCCTTGATAATCACATTGGTATTTGTATAGTGTGCAGCATTTGTGTTGCAGTCGTGGGAACAAGGGTTTCATATATGGTGTTAAACAGCAAAGAGTAAAATTGCTTAAGCCTTGTACATGCATACAAGCCTCCACTTGTTAATGCCAGTAGGGAGTTGCTGGAGCCTCGTGCATCTGTGTGTGTGAAGTTTTAGTGTGTTGTTGTTTCCTGCTCCTTGGGGGAAAAAAAAAAGAAAACTTACCCCTGATTTTGGTTGTATTCTGTATGGACTGGGGGCAGTGTGAAATAGTTCAAAAATGGGAGTATAATTAACTTTAGATATGTTTTTCTGCCTGTTTTAGTGTGGAATGAAAATGATTTGTGGTCTGAAGAGTAAACGTGCTTGCTAATATTCTCAGGTGTTTACCTTAAAAATTTTCTTCTTTTGAACCTTGTTTGCAGTGTAATACCCAGGGTCAAAATTCAGTGCAGACTTGGACAAATGTGCCTGTGACAAAGGTGGTTTCCTGTGCAGTATGTGAGAAATTATTTAGCTTTAAAATCTTATACTTTGCTCAGGAAAGTCTGAAAGTTAACTAAACACATAAACTTGCATTTAAGTGCACTTTGGTGCTATCTCCTTGAGATGTGTTTTCTCTCAAACCTCTTTTGGGGACAAGAGGACAGATGAGTCACCCTAAAATCAGTGATTTTCTTACCAGAGACCCTAAGACTGTTTCCCAGAAGAGCCCTTCCTCTGTGAAAATTTGGGGTGATAGTGAACTAAAATAGCCAGACTTACAGATAACTCTTCCGTCACCAGTCATTTTCCCTCAGTGTACCAGGGCTTTTCCTGATTCTTTGAATACAGGAAGAAAAGAGATTTCATTGTTGTTGTTTCACGTGTAGGCCTGCCCCTTTAACTTGCTCTGCCCTTAATGTCACTGACATGATCTTGTAGTATCCTTTTATCTGTCAGTGGTGGTGGTTGTGTTAGACTTCAGCTATTTGGAATTATTCTGGATTTCTTTCTAAAATTGGGAATGTAAATGAGAATGTGTAGTACTTTAGGTTTCTTTTTTTAAACATCTTCCTGCTCCATAAGCTTTGCATTGAAATCTTTACTCAATACATGAAACATTGACCTGAAGAGAAAAATCTTGAGTGTGTTCTTGCAGCAATATTGGCAAATTACACACGTACATGAACACACAAACTAGTGGGGCAGCTTTATCTCTGATGAGTATGAAATTTTTCTCTTCTCTTGAGAAGATAAGCTGTTTTTCCTCTCCTCTTTGTAAAGAATTTACATTCAATAACTCTTCTCGTTGCAGGGCCCAGGTAATCTAAATTGAAAGCCAGGCTTCTGGGTTTTACATTGTCATTGCTTTTCTCTTTTTCTTTAATTGTTGCAGCTATGATAACTGTATCTGTGACATTTGCAAAAGTGGTGGTATTGGATGGAAGGGTGAAGCATGATGCCCTTCATGGTGAAGTGGATCTGGCTCAGATGTATGCAGGTGGAATGTATCAGGCTTGCCCCCATAGTGTGACATTCCTGCTATCAAAATACGGTGACCTGGGTTTTGGATGCAAAATTATAAACTGTTTTAGTTTATACTAAACACTTAGGACATGTTGCTGTTACTCATTCCCCACTTAGAACCCTAGGGGAATGAATGTTATTGGCAAATCACTATATGTGCACAGCTGTTTTTCCTTTTATTTGGAGCATCATTCCTGGTTCACTGGACCAGTGGAATTGTGCAGAAGAATGCATGATCCTAGGTCATTTTTCCTTGGTTTCCCCCCCACTAAAATTAGGAGGTAGCCCCCAGCAGTAATTTGTGATGTTGATATTTGTCCAACAGAAGACGAGCTAATGTAATCAACTTTGTCTGTGGACCATCATTGGAGAATACTGAATGGAAACCAGTGTGTGCTGGATCTGGATCAGTGGATTTGGCAATGGTCAAATGCCGGTCTTCCGATGTTCTTGTGGACAGACTTGTATACAGGTGAGAGAGTTTCAGCACTGGAAGTATTGATCAGCATTTTTTTTATAATGAGCATGCAATTTATGTTATATAAAGGAAGTTCACAAAAATAAATAATTCATATGTGTTTTTTAAAGGCAGATTATTTTTAAGATAACGTATAAATAGTAATTTTGTGTGTCTGAAATTTCAACTCTGTAGGAGATTCCTCCCTACCACCACCACCCGTTTTTAACTAGTTTTAAAAGATTAGATAAAAATCACCTAGAGTCACCTAGAGTAGATTAAAAAAAAAAAAGTTTATCTGAGATTTCTGAAAATGGCCAAAAGTTGTTAAATTCCCATCTCCCTTCAGAGTGAGTCATAAATATGACTTCCTCAAGCTCTTTTGAAAGTCCCAGCTGTATGTACCTGGGAGATGCTTTCATATGAGAGTGTTTTGTGCCTCCCCCCTTCTTGACTGCATTATGTCATGAAAACAATCTTTGTCTTTCTGTAGAATTCTAACAAATGTTTGATGCTAGACTGAAAATGAGAAGTTAGCAATAAATATGCTTTTCCTCTGGTAGAAGACTGTACAAAACACGTTCCAGTTCATGAGGGGTTCCTCTGCTTATCAGAGGCCTGAAAATTTTCCACCTTGCCCTTCCACTCCAGCTGTACAAGTGATAGCATTGCAGGTCCATGTGTGAAATAGAACAGGTTCAAAAGCACAAATATTTTGTCTACCCAGTTTGGTTTGTTGGAAACAAAACTTTTCAGCTTGCTATATTAAAAATACTGTGGTCCTGGCTATTTGAAAGGGGCAGCTTCTACTGATGTTTGATTTCTGTTTGTGAGGTTTTTTGCTGCTTGCCCTGTTTGCATTAGGGTTAAATGTCATTGTACTTCTTAGAGCAAACAGTGCATTTAATTCTCCCAGGTTCCTAAATGGTATGATGTAGTGAGGGAAAACACTGTGTTTGTGCCTGCCCCTTTTGAGTTCTGAAGAACAGAACTGTATCAGAGAGGACAGTTGTGTGCTGTAGCAGGAGTACTATAATTGTGTGTTTTCTCTAGGTATTTAGCACAGTCTGTGTAGAACACACAGGAGGCTGCAATGGGCTAAGCAGGGTATCTGTGGCCTTGTTACACTCAGCTGCAGTTGAATGCTCTGTGCTTCTGAAAATGAGCCAAAGTGGCCTCAGTGCCGTTTTGAGGACTCTGTTACATATACATTAGATCTCATTTACACTGTGGTGTGGAAGTGCAGGAGTACTTAAACTTAGCAATGGTTGGGTCTTCTAATGTTGTGGGTTTATGATATTTTACAGCTTGCCTGTGCTGCCCTTCCTTACGTCCCCCTTCCATTTTGCTTCTGAAGGTGTGACCTTGAGGTCATAGCATGTCTTCTGAATCACTAGGGGATTATAACACGAGTAGCTGCTATCAGCAAGATTAACAGTGTTTGGGTTTTTTTGTTGTTGTTTTTTTTTTTAATACTGCTGACTTGCTATTATGACTGTCAGCAACGGCTTTGGAGGAAAAAGCCACTGCAGTTTTTGACTCCATAGAAAATATGGCTCACTGGGATAGATGTAGATAAAGGAGACTTTGGCCTAGGAACTTAAATTTGATGCACTCTTTTAGTGGGCAGTGGAACCCAGTCCATGGGTTTAATCAAATCCAACTCTTATTCCCTTTCTGAGGAAAGTCAGGTGCATGTATAGAGTTATTTTTCATTTAAACAGCATTGGAATGGAAAAAAAAAGAACCTTGTAGATGAATTTATCTCATCTCCTTAATGCATGGACACAATATGTGACAATTCCAGAATGTGTAACAAAAGGCTGAAAATGCTTTAAAAAACGTTATCCAGGTGCTGGAATCTTTCAGTGTATTAGGCTTTGAAGTCGAATTGGTTTTTGCTTTTCAGAACGGTTTAAACAAAACTCTGCAGTATAGTGACTGAACTCCTTGTAAGGGCCAAGATTTGTCTTCGGGTTGCTCATTTCACCTTTCTCCATGTAGGTAATGGGGGTCAGAGAAGGTTAGATAGAATTTTCATAGTTGGTGGCAACAGAAACTGAGCATAGCACCCTACTTATTTTGTTAATCACATGGGTGGGGGTTTTTCTAGGTTTGAATTTTTATTTCAGTTTTCAGTATGGTGAATCATGAGCATCACATGAAGAAAAAGGCAGTCTGTGGCATATCTATACTTTCAGAGTTAGCCAATTCGCATACTTCAGGTTAGAATTTTTTCTGTGTGGTTCTTCAATCTTTTTGAGCATGCAGGGTGTGTGGGGGGAATCCTTAAAACCCCAGTAACTCATTCAGATTGGAATCACTTTAAATGATGCTAATAAGTAAAGAAATCCACACATTCCTGAATTTATAGATAATTAATATTGTAAAATATTACATATTATATTGTGAATATTTCCTTTATTTTGACTTCATTTAAGGCAGAGTGTGTGCCTGATAGCAGTGGTTTTATATGTGGGGGGGGGGTTAATTCTTTTGTCTACAATGTGTGGTTACACTACCTTTTAGCTCCCGAAACTCTTCCTGAAAAATGCCTTGAGACTTTTAGGGGAGAAAAGGTGGGGGTGAGCAGAGGAGTGGAGGGTTGCTGGGAAGAGGTCGGAGCTTTAGACTTAAATTGCTGTGGAACTTAACTCTTATTTCCAGAAGCATTTGAAATATCACTCATCAGCAAGCTGACGACTTTTGTTTCACTTCCTATGGAATTTACAGACTTGTGTTAAGGTAATTTTACTTTTAAAAGAACTTCAGTTTTTTTCTGATTAGTATGACCTACCAAGTACTTTTTGTTCTGTAATGAACAGCTGGGAGAACCCCTTGAGAACCGGAGGTCTGTGTAAACTACATTGGTGTTTTAGTTGTAAGTGAAATACATCAGATAGAGAGTTAACTGTGAACTTGTGCAGCAGATCACTGATTCAGTACCTTTTAATTCTCTCCTACAGAACTGCTTATGTAAAAATGCATCTAGTTAACAGTGACCACCAGAGAAGTGCTGTGGTAGACATGGGCTTCATGTCATGTTGGCTTCCTGTTTAAAAAACAGTAGGCTGGCAGTTTTAAAGGGACAGTGACAAAGTGATGACCAGGTGCCAAGTGCCAGCTGTCCTTATTCACCAGATTGAACAAGAATTGGATAAAGAAGAAGAAGAGATGATGGTTTTCCTTTGCCGAGACCTTGCTCCTGACTTGGCCACTGCTGACCTTAGAGAGCTCTTGGTGGCTTTGAATGAGAGGGAGAAACTGTCTTTTCTTGGCTTGTCTGAGCTGTTGTACAGAGTTAAGAGATTTGACTTGCTGAGGAGGATCTTGAAGATTGAGAAAGCAACAGTGGAAGCTAACCTTGCCAGGAGTCTCAGACTTGTCCCTGATTACAGGTAATACATCTATTTCAGATTTCAAGGCTACTCTGTTTTGTTCAAAATGTGTGTGAGTTGCTTTTGGTTTTGCGGAGGGGTTAATCAATAAAACCAGTGGTGTTCGTACAGTTCTAGAGTAGCAGATAGAAAAGATGCTTTAGAGGAAAGTCAGCAGTTAGAGATATTTTCTTTTCTAGTTTGCTTTGGGCACATAGCCTTGTGGTATAGCTTTTCTCAGGGGGCCTGTCTCTTACTACTTTTTACACTGTAGCTTTAAGAAGCTTAAATTAAGAATCTCCAGTTGTTGTCGTTGAGAAACTTCAGAAAGAAATATATGTACTCATAATGTTAACTTTTGACTGAAGTAAAAACCCTGTAACTACTAGGTAAAAAAGTTGAAGATGTGTTCTGTTGTCTCATTCTCTCACTTCATCTCTATTGAAATATTAAGGAGACTTCTGTTTTCCTAGCAGTGGCTATTAGACAGTCAGTCTGAGTAACGCAGGTGCTTATTAGCAAGAGTAGGTATTTTGTAATTGGATCTTGGAGCAGGGTAGGCTTTTTTCCTGTTGTTTAATTGGGAATGGTATATTAAGACTGGAACATGGGAGAAGTTGGGTAGTAGGGCAGGTGTGGGATCTTGCTGAAAGCTAATCATTTAGGAATGTCTCAACTTTATTTCAGGGTACTAATGGTAGAGATTAATGAGAATCTGGAAAAAGAAGAAGTGGGTTCTCTTGTTTTTCTACTCAGAGATTACGCACCTCGTATGAAAATGGTGAAAGATAAGGTATGTCTTTCTGCTGGTCTTCTCTGGAGCAATGAGAGATTGAAGTAAAAAGGGAAGTAGCTAGACAGTAAAGGAGGGGAGAAAGTACTGCAAGGGGTAGTGAGGCAGGAGCAGACAGAAGTCAGAAAGTGGAGAAGGAATAGTGGCTTCTATTTAATTTTTTTTTTTTTTTTTTTTAATTCAAGAAAAGAGGCATGAGAAACAGTAAGACGGAACAGTGAAGACTTGCTGTAGTGAATGGTGTTAGCATGTCCCTTACAGGCAGAAGGCATTAAAAGAAAAAAAATCTATCTTCAGTATTACTGATCTGAAAGTTCATATATGAAGGATCTCAAACCAATACTCATATGAAATGTATCTTGAGTTACAAGGTCACTTTTTATGTCTGTGCTTTGCTTTACTTACAGAAGAACAGTTTTATTTTAATTATGTCTTTCTCTGTACATTTGCATTCTGAATATTTGTTTCAAGTGCTCTGAGAAAGCAGAGATTCAGTAGAGGGGGTCCAGAAAACTTGACCACTGTCCATAGAAGACTGAAGATTTCTATCGTCTTCCTTTGGGTTTTTTTCTTTTTCTCTCTTTAACCAAATAAAGAAAGAGGCCCTGCAAATTGTCCAAAGCCTTTCTTACCTCTTGCTTTGTGGCATGTGAGGTGACATTCCAACTGGCTGGCTTTTTAGCAGCAAGAAAATGCAAAGCTGTTTCCTCAAAAACTTTGATTTGTTTTTAAGAATATCGCTTCCTAGTTTCCATTACTCCTATGATAATACCAAGAATTCTTACATTTTCCAGATAATTTTCTTAGTGTTTCAGAAGGTAATGTCCCTAGTTCTTGAATATACAACCTTTATGACCCCCCCCCCCATTATTTTCTGGGTTGCTTTGTTACTTACTGATAAAGAACAAATTACTGATATGACAGTATGGTTTTCTGTTGCTACTCTAGAGTTTTCTAGCTCTTGTGATTGACCTGGAGAAACTCAATTTGGTGGCTCCTAATCAACTGGATTTGATAGAAAATTGTTTTCGAAATATTCACAGGATAGACCTGATTAGGAAGATTCAGAAGTACAAACACGAAGGTAAGATGCTATTTTTGCACTGGTTACTCTTGATATTAAGGATCAGATGTGTTCTTCCTGAAGACAAAATTACGAGTTACAAGTCAGAGTATTTGCATGCTTCAGGGATTTAGGCTTTTAAAACAGTTGGTATATCATGGTGTATTTCTCTGTGTGTTTCTGTTAAATTTTCAGCTTTAATGTCCTCCGTTCATTCTCAGCCAGTATATGTAAATGCACTTCAGGCATCTCTCCCTAATCTCAGTCTGATTGATCCTCCTTATAATTCAGGGGTAAGTATGCAATAAATCAGACAGATCCTTTATTTCTAAATATTGCCAGACATTGAAAGGGGGTTCACCTTTGCAGAGCCTAAGGAATGAGAGATTGCTACTAACTAAAATATTACTTGGTTTATTTCTCTTATTCCTGTTACTTGCTGGGTTTAGGGTCTGATTTAAATCTTCTGACTGAGAAAGATCCCCTTTAAAGAGCTTCTGTGAATTTTTTCCTATTAGTTGGATATGTAAAATCTGTATCTTGAAACTTTTTTCTACTACTCCGCGGAGTGAAAAGTATTGCTTTGACTGTTGTTTGCAAAATGTATCGTTCTTCTTTGTACTTCTGGACTTTGCAGGGAAAGTAACTTTTTAACTTTGGAAGCTGAAGGTTATGGCTTCTTAAGGAGAGCTTTTCAGATTTTTTTTTTTTTTTTTGTGGTTTGTTTTAATCTCATTTTAACAAAGATATCTCAGTATGTGAAAAGTCATCAAATCCTATTGCATGCTGTATTCTTTATATTTGGGTTAGGTCTGATATTGTAACAACATGACCTTACTTAAAGTCATTAGTCTTGCTAAATGATTTGATGAGAACACATTTCTGTCACGTGTTCAGTAAATATGTACATATAAAGCTTACATACAAGACACCAGTGATGCAATTTGCCTTTACTAACAAAGCCACAACAGCTTTGTTTTCCATACTACTAATAGGAAAGAGTTTGCATTGACTTTCCATATTATGATAATACTGTTACAATTTCCTTTCTAATTCAGTGAAAGTTCCTTCCTGCTGCTCTGTAGGAAACAAAATTCACATCGTCAGAGTTTTTTTGTTTGTTTTGCTATGTTAGGGAATAAGCTTTTCTTTGCTGTTCATGGCGAGCTGGTAATTTTTTTCTGAGGAGAAAAGGTTTTGGATTTTTTGTTTGCTTGTGGTTTTGGTAGGGGTTTTTTTACTTGTTATTTTGTAATTCTACTTAGCTGATAGATGTGAATCTAAAATATGTAATCCTTTTATTGAGGAAGAAAAATACTACTGTGTTATATTTTGGAACTCGTGATTATTAATTCTTGAAGGAGACAGGGAAAATACACCTTTTTCTTCATTTTAGATCCAGAATGTGAACAAAGAAAAATCACAAAATGGACAAAGTCTTATTCTAGGTAAGAGCATTTTATCTAGTTTTGATAATCTAAAAGAGCCAAACAATGAATTTCATTGTATCAAAATGACTTCTGTTTCATAGTTGTGTTTATAGCTAATCCAGTTGATAACACCAGAAGCAGAGAGTATTTCGTACCTCTGAAAATTCAGCCTTGCCTTGCCTTATTGTTTGCTTTGGTATTTGCTTTGCTTGTGCTGCCACATCTCAAAGCTTTATTGAAATTGTCGTGGGCTTCCACTGTCACAACTTTTTAACAGAATAAATAGTTTATTAATAAAATAATGGAAAAGGTTGACTAGCCAGCTCTGGAGGCCCGTGTAGTACAGCAGTGCCCACTGTGTCTTGAGTAGGAAGTTTTTGTGTCAGTTCAGTGGTGAACTCTCCACCAGGCCAGCCAGGAAGTTGTCCAGTGAGTACCAGGTTCTTACCATGTGTGTTGTGTTCTTTCTGGAAACGCAAAATACTTCTCAAATATGGTGATTTTTAAGAGTAGTTGGCTGAATTCTCTCATTGTAGGAGGGATTGTTTGTTTGTTTATTCTAGTCACAAGCAATGTAGAATGCAATCCAAATAATGTTTCTGAGGTGAAAATTTTTGTGTTTTTTTTAACTTCAGTAGCATACATAGAAACTAAGAGGTCCAGGTGAGTGAGAACTTGGCTGAACTAGATAGGTTCCTCTTTAACTGCTTTGGTGTCAAAACAAATGTCACTGGTACCTACATACTGAGATTACTTCTGTATGTTTTAACTGCAGCAGAACCAGTCCACATGTCCATTCAGGAATCTGGACCAGTGTCACATAAGGTATGTGCTTGTGCATATGTATCCATGTAAATATAATAAAAACCTCTGCAGGTATTTACCTTAGTTTTCTTTGGGTTTCATTTTGAGATTTCCTTTAATTGCGTGCAAACAGAACAATGTGTACATCCATATCTTCCTCAGCCATAAACAGGTTTTATGAATTGCTTTTGCAGAATATATGTTTAATATAAAATATTTGCTACTGCTCTGGAAGCAGCAGCCTGCAAAATGCATGTACATATGATGCGTATGTGTTATATATTTATTAGTGGAGGCTAAGTCAAAACCTGTTGGAAGTCAGACCCCTTGCCATCTACATTAGAAGTCGCAGGGTTTCTTTACATGCAGTAAATTTTGTGCCTTTTTTCCACCTGCCCCTTGGTCTCCAGGTAGAAGACAGATGTGCTTTGAGTATTAATGATAAGAATGGATTACTGCTATTTTCACTAGCTCTCCTATAGGCCAGGAACCAGGGAGTTAACCTATAAGCAAATCGATTGTAATCTTTTTAAAGGTGAGAAGAACTGTGATAGAGTCATTACAGATTATTTAGGAACAAGGAGGTTGTTCCACTAAATAAAGAAATAAATGTTGTTCTGATGAGCAGTGCTTGCGTGTACACCTGAAGAACACAAAAAGTTCTCTACATTTATTGTGTTGGCAATATGAAGCTTATAGCTCCCAACATCTCAATAGCAGTTACACTTAAGGAAATTAATTTGGAAGTACTGTAGAAGGATCATTGCTGTCGTAGTCCAGGCCTTTAAAAAGCCCCTCAACTCCATACAGTGCTTTTTTTTTTTTTTTTTTTTTTTTTAAACATTTGAAGATCTGTTCAGAGTTAAGGTTCAGTCTCAAACTTGCTGCTTTAGTTTCTGGTACAGTCTTAGTCTTTGTTTAAGGATCTTTATGGTACTAAGATTGCATAACACAAGGACGCAAAAATTAAGCCTGTACTAAAAATAGGAGGAAAAACTATTAGTTCATGTCTCCTGTTCTTTTGGTTTTGTTGTGTAGATAGGACATACTACATCCCGGTAGATAGACTTCTGCTAGCTACAAAAGAATGTAATTGAATAGATCAAGTCTATAAGTTGAGAGAGTGACATTTTAACTTGGTATTTGTCCTTCACGTTCCTCAGGTGTTTGATGATCAGTACAGAATGCAAAGTCAACCTTTAGGAATATGCCTGATAATAGACTGTATTGGCAATGACACAGGTAAGTCTCTGGAATTTCAAGTTCCTTATCTTGTTAATCTTGGATAATTAGAACAATTTAGTATAAAGAATATGATGTACATTTACCAGCCAAATGAGGGTAATGTTGTCCTAGTCAGTCTATCAATTCTAGTAAGTCTTCTAAAGCAGAGAGTTGGAAGGCCCAACCTGAGGTTAAGCCAACTGTCCTAACTATTGCAAACAATGTTTGGTTGGTTTTTGGCGCAGAATCTCTGAATGAAAGAACTTGAAAGGGGATAGGCTGAATTCTGGGAGGGAGAAGAAGAATGTTCAGAGACCGACAGAGCAGTTAAGCTATATATTGACAGAGATGGTAAAGATAGTGTTTCCCACCAGTTAACAAAACCAAAACCAAAGCTGTTGTGGATTTGAAGCGTAATCATATCGGACACCACAGCAATTGAACAGCTGAAGGCATGTGGTCATTTATTAATAATGCACCTAGGCTTCTGTTACATTTTTGACAGTTTAACTGAAACCATCATCATAGCTTTTTAGGGAAAGGAATTTTCTTCCTTCCCTCTTGGTTTAGCTAAAAAAAAAAAAAATTAAAAAAAATTTGCATGTAGAATTCAAGATAGTCAGTGCCTTGGTTAAAATGTGGGGTTTTCCTGTTTGCCTTTGTAGAATCCAAAAATTAGATTCTTGCATAAGCAAAAAAAACCCCACTCTCTAATCACTGTAACACATGAGGCTAAAAATAAAAATGAAGAGAGTACTTGCAGTCAGTTTTGTAATAGGCTAGGAGACGTAGGGGAAGAAAAGGGTTTGTTGGCATATCTTTTCTCTTTATCGTAACTAATGGTCCAGCAGATGGACCAACTTAGAATTATTGATGTAGTTGTTGAAGAGTAGTGGATGCAGAGCACAGACACAGAAAGTAAATTTTTTTTATGTTTGCTGTCAATAGTATTTTAGGTAAATGATATAAAACAAGAGACTTAGTTTTCCATTAGGGTAACAGGAACTAGAACTGATTCATAATCCTGCCATGCATGGAGAAGAGGGACAAGGAATGCACTTAACACAGTTACATGCAACTGGGAAGCATCCTTAGGATCTGATTTCAGTCTGTCCTACCAAGTTCATCAGTGACCTCTGACCAAAAAAAAAAAAAAAAAAAAAAAAGAACAAGGATGCAATTGCTGGATGTAGAAATTAAACTGTTCAATCTAAAGCACTTCTTCACTTCTACTCTCTCAAAAAAAAAAAAGCTGACTCTGCCCCAAGAGGAAAATAAAACAAAGCCTGCCAAGGACTGAAAGACTGGGGGTGGAGGAAGCTCTTGGGATCAAACATTCTGCTCTGTCCTGTTGACTGCTTCTTTACTTTCCTGTTCTTCTCTCTTTCATGGTAGCTTTAAAGAATGAACCTCTTGATGCAAGAAACTTACTATGCAGCCTTAATCTGGAAGGTAGCACGATAATCTGCTCCAGTACCAAAAGAATTACTTATTACTTGGAGTTCTGTTTCTTAAAAGCAAATAGAAAAAGGATTGCTAGAGAATTTTCAGTGTGGAGAGCTAATGAAAACATGAGGTGTGAAAATAGCCTTGTTTAAAAAGAAAATCTTTCAATTTCATTGTCTCTAATGGGATATAAACATGTGCTGACCTGATTTATTGAACAAGAGTGTTTTACTATGCCAGGTCTGAGTTTTTTAAATGAAACAGTAAGTATAAAACCAGGTGAGGCACGTACACTGGAGTAAACAGGAAATAAAGAAGGAACTGCTATGTCAGTTCATAGTCACAGATACATGCATTTAGATGTGTGCCTTCTAAGGAAGAGTCTGTCTTTTGCACAAGCAATATACTGTGCAGACCCTTTTGTCATAGTAATTGCTACTAAATACAAAGGTGTGCACAAAATTAAAAAAAAAAAAAGGCACATGGTCTTCATGAACTCATATGGTCATTTCAGTACTTGTACAAAAACAGAAAGTGTGGTTGTGATAGAGGAAGTCTGCTGACTGGAAAGGACAAAAATGGGTTACATGTTTAGCATCTGACATTTAAGATACACATTGTCCTGGTTTCAGCTGGGATGTAGTTAACTGTCTTCCTAGTAGCTGGTACAGTGCTATGTTTTGAGTTCAGTATGTGAAGAATGTTGATAACACTGATGTTTTCAGTTGTTGCTCAGTAGTGTTTAGACTATAGTCAAGGATTTTTCAGCTTCTCATGCCCAGCCAGGGCACCTGACCCAAACTGGCCAACAGTGTATTCCATACCATGTGACATCCCATCTAGTTTAGGAACTGGGAAGTGGGAGGGCAGGGATTCGCCGCTCGGGGACTGGCTGGGTGTCGGTCGGCGGGGGGGGGGCAGTTGCCCTGCGCATCATTTGTACATTTCAATCCTTTTATTACTACTGTTGTCATTTTATTAGTGTTATCATTATCATTATTAGTTTCTTCTTTTCTGTTCTATTAAATCGTTCTTATCTCAACCCAGGAGTTTTACTTCTTTTCCTGATTTTCTCCCCTATCCCACTGGATTGGGGGGGAGTGAGTGAGCGGCTGCGTGGTGCTTAGTTGCTGGCTGGGGTTAAACCACGACACACCTGCAAATAGTGGCTCTGCTGCTGTTGTGCCAAAACCATCGAAAGCAAGTCTTTGTGTGTCTCAGTCTCCATGCATGTCTGCATTGGATACAGAAGCAATTAAACCATGTGTATGTCTCAGATGTTTAGCGTCACCAGTGCATCATCAGCATTTTAACATGATGGAAAGCAAGACTTTCGCTGAAATAGTGTGCTAGTGAGATTGAGGAGGGGCAGGACATATGGCATTGCTTAAAGGAGTTTGTCAGAAAGGCATCCACTACTCTATAGAGTTGTTGTGCCACAGTACTTCTGAAGTCTGAAAATACCAATGAAAGAGAAGAGGACAAGGAGCACATTAGGAATGTATCTGTGGTGT